CTCATCTACAACCGCCGATGTTTTCAAGGTAAGATATGTTCTGGAAGGCAGCTAAATGGTGCTCAATCATTGGCATCATGTACTCCATGGTAACTTCATCGTTGTGGCTGTATAATCCACTGGCCAGCCAGTGGTATAAAGTGGGGGATGTAAGTGGGCCCTGTAATGGTCCACAAAGCCTCTGGCCCCACGCAAGGTAAGTCGTCCGCTAATGGATTGTGCTTTCATTTCAGCAGCATGGATGCGTTTTCTCCTGGGTCTGCGTCATGAAGTGTTACGCTTATTAAGTGTTTCCTGCTGTTTTAGAATTAAATGCGTGTTGGGTTTCACTGCTGGTTATTTATATTTACCATCCTTTTTAATAAGTTAGTTAAAACATTTTTTAGCTGCTGTGATCTTTGTGCATTGCACAATATACTGTATTGCAGAATGTCATTTTCAGTTTCTTTTAAACATTTTTTTTTTCTGATATTTCTACTTGACTTCAAGACAACGTAAATATTTGCAATTGACATATCATAACGTAAATAACGTAGCATGTGCGTAAGCATGCATTGTGTGTTTTCAGGATCTCAACCTGAACCAGTACTTCCAAATCCCATCTACCATAGACCTCTGTATACAGAGGTCTATGCATCTACATATATTATCTGGTAAGCCTGAACCCGATCAAATAATCCCTTCCAGTCTATCTCCCTCGCCTCTAAACCATTTCCCCTAAACCATTCACCACCCAAACCGGTTTATGAAGCGTCTGCTTCCGTGTGCCTGGGGCTATGTCCTCGCTTGTTCCTGTTCCGCGATGTTACTGTTCCGTGTTATCGGCTAGGTGTGTGCCCCGGAGGTATTCCGGGTCCTCCCTCTCTCACTCCCCCCCGCCCCATCCCCACGTGCCCGTCCGTCTGTCTGTCTGTCTGTCTGTCTGTCTGTCTCTCTGTCCGTCTATCCGTCCGTCTATCCGCTCCTCCCTCCCTGACCGTCAGTCCATCAGTCAGTCTGTCTGTCTGTCTGTCTGCCTTTCGACCTGTCTGTCTGTCACTGTCTGTCCGTCTGTCTGTCTGTCCGTCTGTCCGTCTATGTGTCTGTCCGAGTTAATCTAGTCTGAGTGTTAATCTAGCTGACCTTGAGCCAAATCTAGTGGATTGGGCTGTGAGCGTTAGCTGAGTTCATACCGCGTTGGCGTGGATCTCGCCGCCGGCGGTGACGCCGTGCCGTGGTAGTAGGTTGGGATTGTTGGTCGGTGGCTCATAGTTCTTCCGTGTGTTCGAAGGATGGTTCGGTCCTTCTTATTCGATTATTCGTTTGTTTGTTTATTTGTTTGTCTGTTTGTTTGTTTGTTTGTTTGTTTGTTTGCGTGCTTCTTTGTTCGTGTTTCTCCGTTTGTTTGTTGAGTTGTTTGTTCGTTACCTCGCTCGCTTCTTTATTCGTTTTATTGTTCGATGATAAGTTCGTCGTTTGTTTATTTATTCGATTTTGTGTCGTTAGTTTCTTCGTTGACTCGTTCGTACGCTTTCTCGTTTTGCTGATTCGTTTATTTGTCCGTTGGCATTCCCTTTGGTACGTTATTTTGCTCTACTTTATTGATACCTGTATGCGACGAAGCGTAATGACAGCGTAGCTTTATCGTCACGTCTCCTTGTTTGTCTATGTAATAGTACCTTTTGGAGTCAGCCGTGCGCGTTAACACTTTTCCCTGGGTTACCTGTGTGATGCCTGAGGATGTGTATGTTTTTGGCTGTGTTTACGTGATCGCAAGTACGACAGTGCATGTCTGAACGTGACCCGATTTGACTTTGGATCGTCACGTCTGAGTTTTTTTTTTCGTTTTTTTTTATGAATCCAACGTAATTCTACGTGTTTGATAGATATCTTGTTATATGAACCCACACCTTGACGCGTCACTCGTCAGACTAATGCCACCACGCCAATAGAGAGCCAGTGGGAACATACCTTTACTCAACGCATCAATATCAATAGAGAGCCAGTGGGAACATACCTTTACTCAACTCATCACCCACATACCTTCAGTGGCTAGATTCACTCCCACTTTTCTTCACTGGATTCCTTTGCAAACGGGCGTCTAACCGGTTTCAATGAACGAGCTAGTCTCTTATAAATCTCGCCAGTCTTTCATGCACGCTGTACCTGCGCTCTCCTGCTAACCCGCGTGTTATAATCCGTTGCGTAAATGCAGATTGGTGTGCAGCGTTGCAGCCGCCGCCGCCGTGGTTTCTGAGCTCTGTCCCCACTGGGTCACCTGGACAAGGTCAACCCCTCCCCCCTCCCCTACCCCTTACCCCCTCCCCTCCCCTCCCGGGACTGAAGCTGGGCTGCTCCCACGGCCGGGTTAGGTTCGTGGGGTGGAGTGGCGACTGAATTGGAATGGCTGTTCTATCACCACAGGGTTGTTGCGTGTTGGTTAGAACACTGAGACTCTGATGTTGATTTCCATGTGTGTTAGAAATATAGATTTTGTGTAAATCACTAGGAGTCATTCGGAGTTAAGTCTTATGTCAAAACCTAACTTATATGCTATTTATATTGATATAAAATGCTTTGATATCCAATATGATATATAATATAATATATAGCGCCGGTAGGTTTGCCCTAGTGAAAAATATTTATTGATTGAGCACTCAAAAACATTGTTCAAAAATTAATTAGTGCCTATACCTCTTCAATGCTACCTCTCCGCATTTACCTTATTGTACCCAACTGTCCTCTCTGACAGCTCAAGAGACACCTGACCCAGTTTAGCCCTCCCTCTTTCTCTCCTTTCGATCCCTCTCCCTCTCTCGGCGTTCCCTCGTGCCCCCTCCCCTCTATCACGATTGGGGGGGGGGGGCGCCACGAGGTTACGGGACTCACGACGGGTCACGGCAAGTCTAGTGGGCGTGGCTTTATGTTTGTAGGCGTGCTTATGTCTTAGTACGTGTGGCTATACATTAGTGAAGACTGATGGCTTCGATGCTAGCGTGTTCTTGATAGTGACTTCATTCTCACTTGCAATGCCTAATTGGTCAGTCTTGAAAGTACCGCATATCGGTGCGGCATGAATCCATCAAGCCTGACCCAAAAAGGGCTGCTAAATTTGATTATCGCCGAACCAGCTCACATCTTCTTCCATCCCCCATGTTAAATGCTTCGTGACTCTCACATTTAGCAGCCATTCCTCAGTCGGACTTAATAATCCACTGCACTGTTGCGCGGTACTTTTAAGACAAACTGTACATGACATTGAATCCCTACCTTATATCAGGCGACCAGGCGTGACCCACCGATACGCCCCGCTCCCCCACAGCCGATAAGGGGTGGCCTGTTAAGACTGGTTTTTAGAACACGGTGACCAGACGCGATACAGGTTACGCCCAAATCTCTGCCCAAAACTGGCTGAGCCTGATGTAACTATAATTTCAGGATATGAGTCATGGGGTCAAGATGGGGCAAGTGGAGAGATTGTGGCTATTCGGACAATGTTAGAACTTTGCTTCTTATGTAATTATACTTTTTCGTCTACTAGTCATTCATTAGGTAACCCAAGCAGTAAATGACAATGGGGCAGGATTAAACGTATGCCCCCCCAAAAAGATGGGCACTGGTTAAATGTAACAGTGAACCCAGGTTGCTTTAGGTATTGTACTGACAGTACTTGCACTTCCACAAAACAAACTACCAAACAGTTGATTTGATAGTTTGTTTCGTGGAAGTCCACGTACTGTCAATACAATGGTTACCTACTTGTCCAAATAAAACTACAGCTTGCTTTAGTAGTATGGCAATCAGTTGCATATTGCCAAACTTCCAAGACACGCCCATTTAACACAATTGCAAGCTGTGACCTTGCACATTGGATACACATACACAATGCAATGACGAAACATGTCATTTCACAATCCGAACTCAAATCTACACACTTTGATAACAGTATCACAATATTCCGTGGATTGGTCCAGCTCCCTTGGTTTTTACATCTAGTCGTATGTTTCTCGTGTATGCTACAACTGCCACTCTATGTAGTCCACGGCCTTGCTTTTAAGACCGTGAGTTTTAGCCGTGATTGAAATTATCGCACCGTGAGGCTGTGTGTGGCTGTGTGAAAAGCTGTGATTTGTGTGAATATGGCCGTGGTTTCGGGTCTGGACCGATGTTGCTAGGGTGTACTTCACCGTGTACGTGCACATAGTGCACGGCCTTGATTTTGAACTGCGATAGTCACGACCGTGATTTTCAAACCGTGAGTTTTAGCGGTGATTTAATAACGTTATTGCACTACGTGGTTACTTGCTGGCTCAGAGGCGATGTGATTTCAATAGGTGCTGTTCCCTTGTTCCACATATTGTCAATATAGTTGTTCCAGTTGTTCCCTGATGTTCCCATGTGTGCGTATATCACAGTGTGAGTCTATGAGACTTGGAAGAAGACTAGCAGCCCCCATTGGGTGACCTGTGCTGTGTACTTAGTACTTACTTACATGGGTGGCGGCGTAGAAAAAAAAAACTTACTGCTGGGTACTGACTCCTACTCTGCTACCCCGCGCCCCGTCCCTCCTCTATCTACTATACCTCTGTGGATCTGCTCCTGAAGAGGTCATAACATAGATACATATATGTACTCTGATGTTGGGTTCAGGATGATGTTTTGATTAGGGAACTGTTATAAATTCATAAACCCAACTATGAAACCTGACTCCTCAATCCCCATGCATTGAACTCATACGAGCTTCAGCTGACCCTTTTATCCCTTACTGACCAATGACCCAGATGACCTCTGACCTTGCTGACCCTTTTTTGATCTTTGACCCTCTTGATCTTTGAATTTTTTTTACAGAGGGCTCGTTTATGAGTTGCTAGCATGCCCTGCTGGCTACCTATGCTGCCATTTAACCCTTATATATGCAGACCCATGCCCCGTATGCATTGACCTTCAAGTGTACCCTTCGCGACCTCTGAACCCTTCTGACCTACCTGTGCTGACCTTTGACCCGGTATTTCCACAGAGGGCCAAGTGGAAGTCTCCAAAGATGGGAGGACCCTCAGCCAGATGGGACCGGGGAAGGTGTTTGGAGAGCTGGCCATACTCTACAACTGCCAGAGGACGGCCACCATCAAAGGTCAGTTTTATGGCGTGGAGCATAGAGTTGTGACCCTTATTGACCAGTGGCCACCAATAAAGGTTAGCTTTGTATCGCACAACATTCAGTCGCAAACCTTATGACTAGGAGCCACCACCAAAAGTCAGATTTATAGCGTACAACATTGAGCTATGACCCTTTTGACAAGTAGCCACCAATAGTGGTCAGATTTGTACAGTACAACATTGAGTTGTAACCCTTATTGACCAGTGGCCACCAATGAAGGTCAGATTTGTGCCGTAGAACATGGGATTGTGACCCTTATTGACCAGGGTCCACCAATAAAGATTAGTTTTGTATTATCCAGCATGGAGTTTTGACCCGTATTGTTTAGGAGCCACCAATGAATGTTGGTTTTGTACCTTACAGTACTGAGTTTTGGCGCTTATTGACAAGGAAAAGAACGGTTCCATTAAAAGTCACTTAAGGAATATCAGTTCAGCGATATGATCATAATATCATTTGAATATAATTTGAATGTAAAAATATAATCATTGTAATATTTACCGTCACAGAAATGTCAATAAAAGACCCCATTTAAAATACGTGTAATTGTGTGCGTGTTTACGCTCGCATAGGTGTACCTATAACTGCCGCTCTGTGTATCTCGTTTGTATATTCTCTCACATTACCCCCTCCCCCTCCCCCTCAGCGGCCACCGACTGCAAGCTGTTTGCCATCGAGCGGCAATGTTTCCAAACCATCATGATGAGAACTGGCCTTCAAAAGCAGGCAGAGTACACGGCCTTCCTAAAGAGGTGAGGCATTCGCTAATGCTCGCTTTATATCGTGCTATACCATATAGTTCTCTCGAAGCGGGGCAAGTTAACAGCTGCTTTCAAGATCTGAGGCGGAAGCCAAAACTTAGTTTACGATTTGTGCCTTTTAAAGCTTGTTTAGTGCCTTTCAGATTGCCATGATATGTGCTGCAGGTATACGAGCTCTATTTCCCCCGGCCAATCCTGAAGACATGGAAAGATAGATAAAGTTCACTTCATACCGTATCAAATTTATGTCGTGAATCAAGGCTACCCATCAAACGGATGATCACAATTCTATGGTTACAGTTTTTGTTTTATTGCACGCTACCAATTTTGACTTGCCTCATTATATCGGGTTTTCTGAATAATGACGCTATTTTATCCATCTATCCGTCTTCTCATCCTCAGGATTAACCATGCTCCTGATCCTTGATCACGTTTACCACTGCCCTGAGGCTGATCTCACCGTCACAATGGGTAAGGGAGTAGCGCTCATCCCTCTAGCTTTAATAGGGAGTAGCTCTTCCGTTCAGCTCCTATAGGGACGCTGTCTCTGTGGGATGGCCTTTTGATGCACCGGGTGTTCCCAGTGCTCTCCCATCGGACGATCCTCTCCCATCGGGACGTTCTTGTCCCATCGGACGCTCTTGTCCCATCGGACGCTCTTGTCCCACCGGCCGACGCTCCTGTCCCACCGGGACGTTCTTGTCCCACCGGGACGTTCTTGTCCCATCGGACGCTCTTGTCCCATCGGACGCTCTTGTCCCATCGGACGCTCTTGTCCCACCGGCCGACGCTCCTGTCCCAGCGGAATGGGCTCAGCCGCTGCGGCGCACTAGCCGTTGGTCGAATATCTGCCAAATGTTTTCCAGTATTCTCTCATCTCTTGGTCCCCGAATTACCATAAAATGAAGAGTTCATTATCAACATACCAAATCAGTTTTGATAAGTCTTGCTCTTCAAGTTTTACCCCTTAGCCATTTCATTTGTGACCACATGGCTGCTGCAATAAGTAAGAGCGTGTGGGCTATAATTTACGCCGACACTTTGGGCGACGTAGCATGATAACGAATATATATGTAAATACACAGATCAGTTTATAGATATAGATATAGATATAGGTATAGAGGTATATAGATATATAGTGATAGGTATATAGATATATATATATATATATATATATATATATATATATATATATATATATATATATATATATATATATATATATATATATATATATATATATATATATATATATGTGTATAAGCAGGCAATATATCTTCTTTGAGACAAGTTTGGTTGAATACGATCGCGTATTTGTTTTTTTTATCACTTTCTTTTGAAGCTTTTCTTTCTTTCTTATCACTTTCCGGTCAGTTTCTGGCAGCTGGTGTAAAGTATCTCCAATGTTCATACATGCATTATATTGATTCACGTTTTGCGACGCGTTTCGAAGTACTCACTTCGTCATCAGGCATTTACACTTTACACTCTCATCACATTTAACACTTACATTATATCTAAGTTACTTCATACATTTTTTTTGTTGTTGACCTTAACACAAATGCGATGTGACCTATGTCAAAATTCAGTGCACGGTTGTTCGAATCTAGTTCGAAAATTCAAACGTGCTGCTTCCATCATGCAACATCTTCATCTACTACCACCACTGGCGGATCCAGGGGGGGGCCACCGGGGCCATGGCCCCCCCAAAAGCCTGAAAGGGGGGGCCAACATATCTTTTGGCCCCCCCCAAAACGCTTGGAGAAAAATTAATGTGAGAAGGTTGCGTAGTAGATACCTACTAGAATCAGCAGCGTGATTCAATAGCGTAGAGAAAGTCAGGGGCGCGGGAACTACTTTCAGACTGGGGGAGCACACCATAATAGAGATCAACCTAGGGTCCCCCCAAATCTAGTTTTCTCACCGGTTTTAGGCCACTTATTTTTCATCCCTTGGCTTTTTCAACAAAAAAAAGAAACAGTTGCAAAAAAGGACGGTATTCCGTCTGAAAGTTGTGGGGGCACCGCCCCCACTGGCGGATCCAGGGGGGCCACCGGGGCCATGGCCCCCCAAAAGCCTGAAAGAGGGGGCCAACATATCTTTTGGCCCCCCAAAACGCTTGAAGAAAAATTAATGTGAGAAGGTTGCGTAGTAGATACCATAATCAGCAGCGTGATTCAATAGCGTAGAGAAAGTCAGGGGCGCGGGAACTACTTTCAGACTGGGGGAGCACACCATAATAGAGATCAACCTAGGGTCCCCCCAAATCTAGTTTTCTCACCGGTTTTAGGCCACTTATTTTTCATCCCTTGGCTTTTTCAACAACAAAAAAAAGAAAACAATTGCAAAAAAGGACGGTATTCCGTTTGAAAGTTGTGGGGGCACCGCCCCCACTGGCGGATTCAAGGGGGCCACCGGGGCCATGGGCCCAAAAAGCCTGAAAGAGGGGGCCAACAATCTTTTGGCCCCCCAAAACGCTCGAAGAAAAATTAATGTGAGAAGGTTGTGTAGTAGATACTTACTAGAATCAGCAGCGTGATTCAATAGCGTAGAGAAACCCAGGGGCGCGGGAACTACTTTTAGACGGGGGGGGGGGGAGGTCACACCATGATAGAGATCAACCTAGGATCCCCCAAATATAGTTTTGTCGCCGGTTTTAGGCCACTTATTTTTCATCCCTTGGCTTTTTCAACAAAAAAAGAAAACATTTGCAAAAAGGAGCGGTTTTCTGTCTGAAAGTTGTGGGGGCACCGCCCGCACGGCCCCAGAGTTGGGGGGGGGGGGGGGGCAAGCTGCCACCACTGCCCCCTCCCCCCGGTTCCCGCGCCTATGGAGAAACTACCGGGTTTACTAGCTTCCTTCATAAAGTGTCGTCATGTCTTATCGTCACCCGAGAAGGTCTTATTGCATAAATATCGATTGAGCTGTCAAGTTAACAAACTTGCTGTGGCAGCCTCACCTGACATGACCCGGTAACTTTTCATTCACGGAATATGCGCAATAAATTTTTTAGGAAAACTCCCTGAGTTTTCGTTGAAAAAAAAAAACTTGTTTTGTTTCGTAATTGTACAAGAAGCATATGAGGGACCTTTTTGTCCCTTCCTGCGAAACGGTAAAAGACTTATTTCGGTCACAGCTCAGGCCAATCTCTAAGGGTCAGTCGGGTCACTTATTTCTTAAAAGGGTCCTTACGGCATCCAAGGACCAATTCCGGCTTTTGAGTGCGCCACATCAGCATTTGATGCTACGACAGATGTCGAAATCTGAATATATGTTACAGGCCGTATGAAAATTCGGTCCGTTTGCAAACGGCCTGGCCCAGTCAGGCCATATGAAACTACCTGAAAACACCGGCCGTTTGCAAACTATGACCTGAAATATCAGACCGTTTGAAAACGACCTAGTTAGTTTCGGCCTAGCGGATCCAGGGGGGCCACGGGGTCATGCCCCCAAGCCTGAAAGGGGAACAACATATATTTTTTGTCCCCAAAAACACTTAAGAAAAATGAATGTGAGAAGGGCGTAGTAGGTAGAGAGAAAATACCGTATCATTAAAAATATGTGAGCTTGATAAAAGTGTTGGTCTTGTCTTCACCCAAGAAGTTCTTATTGCACACTTTAACCATGGATGAAAAACCTTCATCCCCTGGTTCTCCTTCATCCATGCTTTAACTCTCGATCGACGTGTGAAGTTATCGTGTAAGGTATCATGAAGCCGATCGCGACGAAACTTTAGTACCCTCATGGTGACAAAGTCTGAAAATTTCATGACCCTGACCCAAGTGAACTTTGACTTGTGGCCTATTTCTCGAGACTATCCGTGCGTTCGGAGAGCATGGAATATTCACCGTCCCCGGGAATATTCCCCGTGCCGCGTTCGGAGGCGTATCTCTCTGAACGGCTAATCTCCGGAAATATTCCGCGCGCATGGAATATTCAACGGATTCCACATGGAATGTGCCTCTCCGAACGCACCATATGTTTGGCCATGTTGGAGGCCATGTTTGGCCGGAATAGCGATTCGGCGTATGTCGGCTCACATTATCCGCGCTTTCATAGTCTTTTCGTGGTTTAAAACGCTCAAACATGTGATATGATGTTGCTCCCACGCATTAGGGCGGATGCCAATGTCACCTTACGGTCAAGTCAGGTCATTGACCTTTGATGACCTCGGTGCACTTTTCCGAGTTTAACATGTTTATAGGATAGTTTCGTTTAGCTGATTTTGAATTTAGCATTTTGCAGCCATTTGAACAATTACGAAGTAGTTTTGATGCCTTCGTATCATGTTACGTAGCTGTCAGTGGTAGTGGACACCTGCTATACGGACGCCCATAAGTACCCCTACTGGTTGATCTGACCTGACCTGCCCCGACATGGTCTAAACGCATGAAGACATTATCTATGATCCAAACTAACATGAAATTTGTGATCAGCACAAAAAAAAAAAACGTATTACAGCCTTACTTTAGGAGGTTCTGACAGGTCCTGATTTTTCCGTCTTTTGGGTCTGTGACCTGACCTGGGCGGTGTTTCACGGCACGCTGCCAGCCGCTGCCAGCGCTGATGGCACTTTTGGTTTCAATGGAGACATCAACAAGCCTATACCCACAACACTACCGAAGGCTGACCTTAGCTCGCGGAATGCGCTGTCAGCGGCTGTCAGCACGACCGTGAAACACCGCCCTGGAAGGTCAACCAATGACCAAGGACCTTAAAATCGGGTATCATCGGCTTCGTCTCGTCACTCACGGGCAACACGCCTGTTTTTTTCCGCGAGCTCTAGCTTAATCAGGGGCCGAACGGCAGGGGGTCCAACCGACACCTCCCAGCCCGCGAAGGCTGCGCCACGCACCGACCCGGAGCGGGCTAATTGGTCGACAAAAGCAATTTGAAGTGTTTTCAAAGTAATATTTAGGCTCGGGTTGGGTGGGCTACCATTTCTATATTTTTTTATTTTTAGTTTTAAAAAAATATCGTTTCAGGGCTGTGACGAAAAAATAAGTGGCCTAAATCCGATGAGAAAACAGGATTTGGGGGTACCCTAGGTTTGGTTACTTGCAGGAGTTGGCCCCCCCCAAAACGCAAGTCTGGATCCGCCAGTGACTACCACCGATCTAGCAGATACTAACGTATCAGAATGAACGAAATGTCTCGTTCACTATACACTGAACAGTCCCCTCCCCACGCACACACACACACACACTTCACCATCACCTCCTATCCTGTCAGCGTGATCCGTCCCCTGTGTTCGCGCTGATCACACATGGACGGGCAGTGTTCTAGGATGTAGGCGGCCTCGAGGATCCTCAGCTTCCACATGTTGTTCTCCCTGTCCAAGATGCTTGTGTTGTCCACCATGTCCTGTCTTGTGATGCGCTCACCGTGGGCACGCTGGGAGTGTTCAGCTGGACCACCCGCAGACAGATGGTATGAGAGTCGGCGGGACAGGGTCATCGTTGTGCTGCCTATGTAAGACGATGTGTCTCGGAGCTTGCAATCTCCTTTTTGACAATTGTATTTGTAGACAACATGCGTCTCTTGCAGGCAGCTTCTTTTGGGGCGGTTACAGATCACCAAATTGGCTGTTTTGGGGCTCTTGTAGTATACGATCAGTTTGACTTCATGCCCTTCCTTTGGAATCACATTTTTCTTCAAAATGCTCTTCAACACCTTCTCGTCACTCAGGTAGGCCTCATTCATCTGGTTCATGTAGAACAGCTTGTGAACCTGCGACTTGGGTTTGGGCTGGTCTTCACCTGTCATTTCTCTGCCGTTTTTATATATATATATATATATATATATATATATATATATATATATATATATATATATATATATATATATTAATCTCAGTGACTTATCTGTCTCTGACTCCGCCTCCTCTGTCTCTGTCTCTGTCTCTGTCTGTGTGTCTGTCTGTCTGTCTGTCTGTCTGTCTGTCTGTCTGTCTGTCTGTCTGTCTGTCTGTCTGTCTGTCTGTCTGTCTGTCTGTCTGTCTGTCTGTCTGTCTGTCTGTCTGTCTGTCTGTCTGTCTGTCTGTCTGTCTGTCTGTCTGTCTGTCTGTCTGTCTGTCTGTCTGTCTGTCTGTCTGTCTGTCTGTCTGTCTGTCTGTCTGTCTGTCTGTCTGTCTGTCTGTCTGTCTGTCTGTCTGTCTGTCTGTCTGTCTGTCTGTCTGTCTGTCTGTCTGTCTGTCTGTCTGTCTGTCTGTCTGTCTGTCTGTCTGTGTCTCTGTCTCTGTCTCTGTCTCTGTCTCTGTCTCTGTCTCTGTCTCTGTCTCTGTCTCTGTCTCTGTCTCTGTCTCTGTCTCTGTCTCTGTCTCTGTCTCTGTCTCTGTCTCTGTCTCTGTCTCTGTCTCTGTCTCTGTCTCTGTCTCTGTCTCTGTCTCCGTCTCCGTCTCTCTCTCTCTCTCTCTCTCTCTCTCTCTCTCTCTCTCTCTCTCTCTCTCTCTCTCCAGCCCCTCTCTCCACCCCTACATGCTCTAAATGATACCTAACATCTCAATTAACATGTTTTTTTTATCCAGTGTGCCAAGCTTCCAGAACCTGCCAGAAGAAACTGTCATCAAGCTGGCCGACGTTCTAGAAGAGGTAAGAAAAGCCGAGTCGGTGTTTCTCACAAAACTATCAAGACAAGTAAAGTTAGATTTTTAACGACTATGCCTACTCACTTCTGTGTACCGCAATGAATGCGACTATAGTAGTTGAAGCCTGCCTTATCGCTTTAACTGCTTTAATGCAAAGCGAACGTGAAGCGTGAATGCCTTGAACACCGTCCAGCTGAAAATATCATCTAGGTGTAGTTTGTTTTTTATGTTCGACTTTCACTGTAGACATCTTTTAACTCTGCCGAGATTTATTAGCGAGATTTGATGTCTCCTTATTTATTCGTTTATTTGCTCAATCGCCAACAGAGCAGTATCCACTTATAGACAAAGTCATAGTCTAATTTGAGTAGTAAGGAGACGTCCTACCACTCCTACCGGTATCTTTTTAGTTGAGTTTTATATGCCATTGGGTCAACAGTGCAAGGATATTTCTATTCTGCACTCATCTGAGATGCAAAGATAATAATTTGTTATCCTTACATCCCTCTGAGATGCAAAGATAAAGTCTCGAGGGCTCATAGGTACTTAAAAATCACTTGTGGAAGATAGGATAGGTATCTTTTCCTCACGTGTTCCAGAAAACCTCGCTCCCTCTTCGCTCGTTTTTCTTTCAGTAACCCGCTTGGAAAAGTATATCCTAATCTTCCACTCGGAGCCATGAAGAATCCTCTACCTCTTCCTAACGTTGTTGTTGTTGTTTTTTCAGACGTACTACAGTCAGGGCGACTACATCATCCGTCAAGGGGCCCGCGGAGACACCTTCTACATCATCAGCAGGGGACGGGTCAGTAATCGGTGACGTCACTGTGATGTGTGTTTGTGGGACGTCAGTCGTATGTTCGGTGACGTCATATATGATGTGGCAGTCCATTGTAATGGGATGTACTCTGTGATGTTTTATGTGACGTTGACATTCGTGTAAGGCGTCATGTATGACGTGATGTCATGAATAAGTTTATGGCTCTGTGGTATAGTGTGTGACGTCATATATGTAGTTACTCGTGTATTAAAAATTATTTCATATTGGCTCTGACTGTTGACTGATAGAAAGTGTAAAAGCTAACTATAGCGCGAGTAAATAGTTGACGGCCGCTTGTAAAAAAAGGACTCGCGAGTAATAAACTATGCATAGCAAAGAACTAGGACGAAAATACGTACGCAAAATGCTCGCAAATGACGTAAAATTACGTAGGCGATAAAGTACATACCTAAGGATAAAAGTACATTTCGCAATTAACCTAGCCTTGCCTGACCTGATTTAACCTGTGACATGACCTACCTAACCCGGCCTATGTTATACATTTGTACGCTATACCTTACGTACATTTGGGATATTTGTTTTGTCCTGATAGCTTTTGATGGTGTACATTTGCCATACGAGCATCTTCGATACGTAAATACTCGTACTTTTATATAAAACCCGTAAAATTTGCATCTCTCCCGAATCACTATGATGCAATACAACCGGTCCCGGGTTCGCTGTGTCCATGACCTTCGAGATGACCTTGACCCCTTGCTGACCCCAGGTCAACGTCACCATGAGGTCACCCGACTCGATGGAGGAAAAACTGATCCGAACGCTCGGAAAAGGCGACTTCTTCGGCGAGAAAGCGCTTCAGGGGTAAGTTCTGCCACCTGCTGAGAGCGGTGGGAAACTGTAGTTGGGTGGATGTGCCGTGATGGCGCTACTTCATGTGCTTGTATGAACTCGTATGCCGTCGTGGAAGTAACAATGGCCGCGGTGCGGTATATAAGATCATATCTACATGGCGACTATTAAATCCCAAAACTTTATGAATGAGAAGTGCGTGTGTATTTGAGTTGTAACCTCGTTTGATTCCCAATGACCCATCACCTCCGATATGTTTGTTTGTTTGTCTTGTTGCGTCTGACCGGAGCTTAGACTTTTCGGTCTGACCAGACCATTTCAGAGTTGGAGGGGTCGCCGTTCTGTCATTTCCATCCTCAGGATGCTGTATCCTCCACGCCGCAACGCCCCCTCCGGGCTGGACAGGCACCTTTATCTCATGCGGGCTGCTCCCTTGGAGCGGCACCGCAGCTACCGAGTGAGCACACCCGTAGCCTGGTACAGAGAGTGCTTGAGGGCTGGTCGGCCTGTCCTTTGGGATGACCTCAGCCCCGGTGACTCACTAGGGCGCCTGCCCAGACCAATGTCTTCCCCTATATCCTATCATCCTTCCGGCCCTGAAATGGTCTCGTCAGACCGAAAGCCCGGAAAGGGTCTAACCTAACAAAACAAAACAATTTAGAAAGGTGATAGGAATTAGAGGGGGACATTGGTTTGAACAGGTACCCAGGTGACCCAGTGAGGCTGAGCCCATGCAGTGGACAGGCCAACCAGGCTCTTGACACTCACCACGTCCGGCTTCGGGCTTGCTCCTGAGGGACCTATCCGCATGGGATAGCGCTGATCGACGATCGTCGAGCCCGGAAAAGGGGATGGAGGCGTGGAGGAAAAGGGTTTGACTGTGCTGAGGATGGAAACGACGGAACGGATGTGACTTCTCCCTTGACATTTCCCGTGGCGTGACCTCCTGTGACCTGTCTGACCTCTCGAACGCCCTCCTGCCTGCAGTGAGGACATTCGCACTGCCAACATCGTGGCCGACGACCCCGACGGCGTGGCCTGTCTTGTCATCGACCACGACACGTTCGATCAGCTCATCAGCAGGCTGGAGGAGGTCAAGAACCGATATGTCGACGAGAGTCAGCTCAGAAAACAGTGAGTGGCGGTGCTGACATCTAGCGGGGGTTTGGTGCTGACATCTAGCCGGACTTGGGGAAACATTGGTGAGGGGAGTGCTGACATCTAGCGGGGGATGGGGATAACATTGGGTGAGCGATGGCGCTGACTTATGTGGGATGTATTTACGGCGAACAAGAACTCGTTTGAGCCTTATGCTTTTCCAGACCCAGGTATTCAGAAGCCAATCATTATATTACAGTGATATATGTGTATTTGCCGGGGGGGGGGGTAATTTTCGGTCGGAAACAGTTTACTTGCAAACTTCATCTGAAGTTGTGAAAAAGTAAGCGCTGTATTTGGGACAAGCATATTGCCAGCGGAATAATGAAGCAGGTAATTCAGATATAATGCCTTGAAAGATAGGGGCTCTCCACTTTATATCCGGAAACAGTGGACTTTGAGTGTAGGTACCCCGGTGCTCTTCGGGGTTATTTTGCATGTTTTGTCCAAAAGTTGAATAGGGGGACAGCCTTGGCGTCATCCATGAGTTAGTACCAGAGGTGGAGATCTTGGGGGGGGGGGTCAGTCAGGACCCCCCTGAAAACGAATTACTGCTATATGTAATTCAATGGTACTGCATCCAGCCCGCCTCCATCTGCCCGGCCTGCCCCCCCCCCCCCCCTGAAATTTTAACAGATCTCCTTCCCTGGTTAGTACCGATTTGTGGCACTTTGGCTGCTTAGTGTCGTTCGTAGCTTGAAACGCATGTCTGAAGTGAAATGCGTCTCGTAAGTCATTATAGTGCCCCGTTTGCTATTTTAATTCGAAATGAAATGAAGTTCACGAAGTTCTTGTGTGGCATGAAGTTCCCAGTGCTGTCTCGGGAGAGTCTTTAGGGAGAGTAAATCACGACTTTCTGCATCGCATGGCCTACCACTTGCCCTATCTTTCAGGAGTATACCGCTATATGATGAACCAGATACGAAGGAATCCGATCACAGGTTGATTTGATGCTAGTATTGAGTACCACTAACCTTTTATAGTCTGGCAAACCCAAGAAAGAACGGAGCTAGAGCGCCTTGGAGTTCTTTACACGTGCATTGGATAATGGGGATAATATAGGTACCTGTGTTTTAAGACTGTTGACTGAAAGAAAGGAAAGAACTATCGGGCGTATATGAAAGTGAATATACGGGCACGTGCATCAGTAACTGTTGCGCTTTGAATCCGTTCTTTTTTATGTTTGTCAGACTGTAGTTGTTGTGTCGTGAATTAACCAGGGGTGCGATAGCTTTAGATGTATGCCGTCATACAAAAAAAAAGATACCCAGTATCCATGCAACTGTCAGCTGAAGTCAGCAACATAATATCTGTTTCATAAACATCTAATCGCACCAGCTAATCGCACATAACAAACCACAGTTATAAATGTGCATTATTCGAAATTAGACTCGTAACATTTTTCGAAGTTCCCAAGGTGAACATTTGTTATTTTCTTTCACGACGCATTCCGATTTACACTTGGTACAACACTTTGGTGCATCATATTTTTTAGGGTGTGAAAGGCCGTTTACACAAATATGCTTGCCTAATATTTGATAGATTTTCCTCTTTCTTTATTCAGATGCCGAGCATATACGTTTGCTGTACAATACAAGCTCGTGATAGGCACATTTTGTAACATGTTACAAATAGTACAATACGATGCAGCTTTTGACACAGTAGTACCTACTACTAGCGGTAGCACTAGTAAACATGATTGCTTACGAATCTTATGACTCTGCGATGGTATTTGCATTTTATTATGATTTAATTTTTATTGCCACTAATTGCATCCACATACGTAAGAAAAGCTGCTCCCCCTGCAAGGGTTAACAATCATACACGAGTCATCAGCTACCGAAGGGATGACCTCACCTTGTTTTTCTCTGCCTAGCGAAATGTTACTTCCGAACATATTCGTACATATCAATTAGTTTATTTCACTAACATCCACAAATTTGACGTTACAAGATGGTCGACCACCTTGTTGATTTCGAGAAGGCGTATGTGGTTTATCCATAACCTTATGCTCAGCTTTCAATACATTGTCATAGACAAAACGTTATCACTTGTATTGATGTTTTATACCATGCTGTTGGACGCAGCTCTTAGGATTGTCTGACTAATGTGTGGTCAGTGTGTTGAAACTGCTTTATTTCTTACCTACTTCTCTTACCCTTTGTCCTTTGAGTGTTACTTGAGCAAATCATTTTTCGTGTGTCTCTCTTCTCTCAGAATTAACTGTTACTTTACCGACGTCTTTCCCCACGAATTCCCAAAGGTCCCCACGAATTTCCTAGTTTTAACCAAATTATCCCCTATTAACCCCTCTGTTACTCCCTCAGAAGCAACCATATATTTCCCGACCTCACTACCCTCCAAGAAATCCTCTATATTCCCCCAATAACCCGCAATAACCCTCCTTCTACTCCCCTGAGAATCAACCGCGCAGTTTGCTGACGTCACTCCCCTATATTCCCCCAATCACCCCCCCCCCGATAACCCTCCCATTACTCTCTCAGAATCAGCTGCAAGTTTGCTGACGGCACTCCCCCATATTACCCCTATCCTTCCCCAATAAGCTCTCTATTACTCTCTCAGAATCAACCGCGAGTTTGCTGACGTCACTCCCTCATATTCCCCCAATCACGCCCTATTAACCCCCTATTACTCTCTCAGAATCAACCGCTAGCTTTCTGACGTCACTCCCCCATATTCCCCCAATAACCCCCATTAACCCTCCCATTACTCTCTCAGAATCAACCGCTAGTTTGCGGACGTCACTCCCCCATAGTCCCCCAATAACCCCTCTATTACTCCCTCAGAATCAACCGTGAGTTGCTTGTGAGTTTGCTTGCGGGAGTATGGGAGAGTGACGTCACTCTCCCATACCTACTCCCCCCATTAACCCCCAATAACCCCTCTATTACTCCCTCAGAATCAACCGCGAGTTTGCTGACGTCAAGCTGTCGGATCTGGCGGTGATTGCCACGCTGGGTGTCGGAGGGTTCGGACGGGTAGAGCTGGTTCAGATGGTACACGACAAGTCTAGGTCATTCGCGCTGAAACAGATGAAGAAAGCGCAGGTGAGTGGAGGGTAGAAAATGGGTAGAGGGGGTAGAGGAGGCCGTAGAGCGTTAGAGAAGGGGGCTAGACAGTGGTTTTAATCATAAGTTGGATATAAATGGGGTGAATACTGGATTGGATAATATGTTGTATAATGTGTTGGCCGTTGGGTTAGCTGGATTATTTATCGGATAACCTGCTCGATGAGGTGGGTTATTAGTTTGATACTGGGCTGTAAATAATGGGTTGGGTAGTTGGCTGGATAATGCGTTTGATAAAAGATTGGGTAATGATTTGATTATGTGATGGTGCATGAGTTTGGCAGTTAACGAGACATGGGAAGTGGGCGCCTGGGTTGGAATAATGCAGGATTATTGCATTGTGTGCTATGTTGCAATTGAGTCATAAAAATGTGTGATTTAGATTATCAGATTTTGCTATTTTATCCGTGAAGACCACATGCTATGCCAATTCTGTTACTTTCCGATCCCCTCGAAAGTAACTGTAAAACATTTCCTCCCAACTCACCAAAAACATTAGCTCATCTCGGGGTTTGAACCCTCGCCTCCCTCAGATTGTGGAGACGCGTCAGCAGCAGCACATCATGTCCGAAAAGGAGATCATGGAAGAAGCCAACTGCGATTTCATCGTCAAGCTGTACAAGACGTTCAAGGACAGGAAGTACCTCTACATGCTGATGGAGTCGTGTATGGGAGGAGAACTGTGGACCATACTCAGGTGGGCAGTCACAGAGATGTTTGTTCGTTTTGTTTTGTTGGGTTAGGCCCTTTCGGTCCAATGGGACCATTTCAGAGCCGGGAGGATGATAGGATATAGGGGGTGACATTGGTCTGGGCAGGCACCCTAGTGAGTCGCCGGGGCTGAGCCCGTCCAGAGGACAGGCCACCCAGCCCCAAGGCACTCACTGCACCCGGCTACGGGGTGCGCTCCCTCGGGAGCAGCGGTGCCGCTCCAAGGGAGCAGCCCGCATGAGATAAAGATGCCTGTCCAGCCAGGAGGAGGGTTGCGGCGTGGAGGAGAAGGATTTCTGTATCCTGAGGATAGAAGCACGGAACGGTGATGAACAGAGATGTGGACAAAGGGGATATTATACTAGCGACCTTGCTGCGTGTCGCGATTGAGCCTTTGATTTGGGATAGATGACATGGATGGATGGCTGTATACTTAATATTTACAGCTAGTTAATCCTATTCGCTGCCCATGTGTATAAACTCTCACTCTCTCTCTCTCTCTCTCTCTCTCTCTCTCTCTCTCTCTCTCTCTCTCTCTCTCTCTCTCTTTCTCTCACTCTTTCTCTTCGCAGTCATTTTTACATGTGTGTTTTTCCTTTTTAACCTTTCTTGTGGAGTCTTGACATTATGAAGTCGTGTTTACCCCTCTTCATTACCCCTATTTTGTTTCACCTCCGTCAGGGACCGAGGCAACTTCGACGACGCCACAACACGCTTCTACACCGCCTGCGTAGTGGAGGCGTTCGACTATCTGCACGCACGAGGGATCATCTATCGCGATCTCAAACCCGAGAACCTGCTGCTCGACAACAGGGGCTATGTGAAACTGGTGGACTTTGGGTTCGCCAAAAAACTGCTGGTGAGGAGATGAGAACGGGAAGGAAAAGGGAAAGAGAGGAAGGATGGAAAGGAGAGGAGCGCTAGGGGAGCTGCAAATTACGAATGTGTGCCGGTGTCCCTTTTTGTCAATGTGTGGTCCTATCGTGGTTTAAATTATGCCCATTCTCTCTTCAGGTCGTCGGGAAGACGTGGACAGTATATTGTTTAATAGGATGTACCCCTCCCTCGTCAATAAAGGACTTGCTCTGGTTTAATAACGTGTGCCAAAGGTCGGTCGGAAGACTTGTACGTTTTGTGGTTTAACCCGCGCACCGACGGGGGAGCGGATATCCGCCCCCCCCCCCTGAGGTTTTTCGCGAATAGCGGGAAAACCGCGGCGCGTAGCGCCGCGAAATTTGGTATGACTATAACCTCATCAATTTTACACATGGTGTGCAAGTTTGAACCTCCTACCTTTTAAGGTCAGGTCACCAGGTCACTTTGAATGACCCAACCTCAAGTCACTTTTTTGCAACTTTGTCACCGTGCCAGAGCTACAGTAGATGTCGGAGGCCTTTGAAAGTCGCAGGATATTATTAGGTCATTAGTAGCTACAATTTGTATATCTCGGAATTTTGATATCGGTGACCTAAGATCAGGTCAATTTCGCGACCTCCCCATTATAAGTCAATGGGGGAAAAACCAACTCCTTGTTTTTACCACTAAAACGGTTCGGAATGGCCCCATATACCATACATGACTTTATATACGATCAACCTTCACTACCTTGAGGTCTGCTTTGCTGTTGGGCAGCTGTGAGGTCATGTGACGTCATCAAAGGTCACCAAAGGTTTTTGGCCAATAACTCCGTACAGGAACAAGATACAGACGCGTGGATGGTCTCATTGTGTTCAGCTCGTCAAGACGCATCGAATGATATACATGATGACCTCGAGGTCACGGGACCTGAGGTCAACCTTTGACCTTGACCTTTCGAGGTCAACATATATCATTCGATGCGGATTGACGAGAGGATCACGATGATGCCCTTAGTTTGTTCCTATCTTGGCTAATTCGAAAGTTATTCGAGAAATACTCTCTCCATATCTAGCGCCGCCATTTTGACTTTTTCGACCCCTGTGACGTCATCTTTGACCTGACCTGAAAATGATCTTTGTAAAAATTGTAGATCTTGGCCGTGCGTATCCGATGCCGTTTACCGCTTGTCGCTATCTTGCTTCGTTCTCGAGATCTCCTCAGGGGGGGGGGGGGCGGTCATCCGCCCCCCCCCCCGTCGGTGCGAAGTTGGCGCAGACCCCCGTCGGTGCGCGGGTTAATAACAGGTGCCCCTCCCTCGTCATGACATGACTTTGCTGTGGTTTAATAACGTGTGCCCTCACAGGTCGGCCGGAAGACGTGGACGTTCTGTGGAACTCCGGAGTATGTGGCGCCAGAGATTATCCTGAACAAGGGCCACGACATCTCAGCCGACTACTGGTCGCTGGGGGTACTGATGTTTGAACTTCTCACTGGTAGGTGCATTAGGCAACTGGTACACGGACAAGGATAATACGCACTGGTTGCCGGGGTACCGATGTTTGAACTGTATCACTGGTTTTTAGCTGCTAGCTTAGAGAACTAAACGATAAACTAATATAATGAAACTAATGAACTGGTATAATTGAACTCTTCACTGGGGTTACTCATCTTTGAAATGCTGATTGGTACGTGAACTAGCTAGCTGGTATACATACCAACCGCGGTAGGAAGCTAGCTGAGCCGCATTTCCTAACCTTCAGCTTTGCTGCGGATTGCATGCCGTAGCCACCCTCCCATCTCCCCTTTATTTTTCTTCCCCTGGAAACGTCCCTATTGACCCGGCTCTCTTCGTTAGGAACTACCTAACTAACTAACCTAACCTCCCTTCTTTTCCCATGAACGCCCCCAACTAACCCCCTTCTCTTTCCCCCAGGAACGCCGCCATTCACCGGGCCCGACCCCATGAAAACCTACAACATCATCCTGAAGGGGATCGACGCCATCGAGTTCCCTCGCAACATCACCCGAACCGCCACAGTGCTCATCAAGAAACTGTGCAGAGACAACCCGGCCGAGCGACTGGGGTACCAGAAGGGCGGCATCAGGGACATCCAGAAACACAAGTAAGGAGGGGGCGACACATAGAGCGACTGGGGTACCAGAAGGGCGGCATCCGGGACATCCAGAAACACAAGTAAGGAGCGGGATATACAGAAACATAACTAATGAGCGGGGCATACAGAAGGGAGGCATAAGGGACATCCAGAAACACAAGTAAGGAGGGGGTGTACGGAAGAGAGACATATAAGGGACTTTCAGAAACACAAGTATGAAGTAAGGAGCAGGATATATGGAAACACAAGGAGGGGACATCCAGAAACACAAGTAGGGGGATATACCGAAACACAATAAGGGGATGTACAGAAATACAAGTGTCGGGGGATACATAAGGGAGGCATAGGGGTTATAAGGAAACACAAGGAGGAGACATATACATAAACACAAGGAGGGAGAAATACAAACGCACTGGAAGGGGACATCCAGAAATACAGAGTACATAAACGTAAGCAAGTACATAAACAAAAGTAGGAAGGGAGGACACATGGAGGGCTGGGGTACAAGAAAAATGACATCAAGGAGTTGCATAACCACAGTAAGTAGAGGGGGTGAGAAAATGGGAAGCATAAAACACTAGTGAGGGTGTTGAAAATGAACTCAGGTTCGAGTGGTTCTCAAATCGTCACCATATATTACTGTTCCACGTACCCAATAAGCGTCTAGTTGGCGCCAGCTCCACTAGATGTCACTGCTGCGCTCTGTTACCGCTTAGTTCCCGTCCTCACCAATAAACGTGCGTTTTGCATCGATAAAATATTATCGTTTGGAATTTGGATATTCTTCGGCGGAAAATTATTGGTCAGCGCCTATCCTCAGCATGTTTTGCTATCGCGATACCGAACGTGATCCCCGATAATTCTCGCTGATCCCGGAAAATTATCCCTGATTTTCCGGATACCGAACGCACCTGCTGATACCGAACGTCACTGCTGCGTTATGTTTCACGTCTAGTTTTAGCCCTCACCAATAGATGGCACTGATGTCTGTGTTTTCGGCAGGTGGTTCGACGGCTTCAACTGGGAAGGTCTGATCGGACGGACCCTGACACCCCCCATCATCCCGCACATCAGGTATGACCGTCTATGATCAGTTAGGTATATGGGTTGTTTATCTATGCCGCCATCCATTGTCAGGTGACCAGGAGTGTCCCCTCCCCTCCCTCTATCCCAACCACACACAGAAACTAACTTTGGAATGTGTGTTAGTATGTATGTATGTATGTTACTAGGTATGTCTGCCTGCCATCAGGTATTTCCCTCCGTTCCGTCGTTTCCATCCTCAGGAATCAGGATACTGAAATTCTTCTCCTCCACGCCGCAACCTCCACTCCGGGTTGGACAGGCACCTTTATCTCATGCGGGCTGCTCCCTTGGAGCGGCAACGCTGCTCCCCAGGGAGCGCACCCCGTAGCCGGGTGCAGTGAGTGCTTGGGGGGCTGGCCGGCCTGTCCATTCGGACGGGCTCAGCCCCGGCGACTCTACAAAAAAAAAGAAAAACTCGGGTATGGCTGTAGGTAAAGTGTTTATTGTCAGGCATGTTTGTATGTAATTACGGAGCGAGCGAAGCGAGCGGAGTCTTTCCTTAGATTAACGGAAATTTCTGAGTATGAGCGGCCGGCCGGCCGGCCGTGGTCACGGTTTTGCGACGCTTATATCTCAGCAACCACTTGACCGATTTACACGCGGTAATTTTTGTAGGGTAGCTTCATTCATTCTACCAAGTATTGGACTATTTCCGATGCATGTAGGTGACCCCTTATGCACGTGCCACGTGCAAAACGAAGAGGTGTCACTTTTGTAATTGTTGCAATATCTCGGTAACTACTTGCCCGATTGCGCTGAAAGTTGGCATGTAGGTAGGCACCCACTAGGCAATGCATATCCATGTGCCAGAGTTGGGGTGCTGCTGCACGTGCGCACGTGCAGGGGTCGATTCCAGATCTCGAGAACGGCTGGACCGATTGCGCTCAAATTTGGTACACGGTTACGGAGCAGTTAGTAGGGTGCCGTGCACAAGTCAGTTGGGACCCATTTTGCACGTGCGCACGTGCAGGGTGCCGCTTCCAGATCTCGAGAACGGCTGGGCCGATTGTGCTCAAATTCGGCACATCGCTAGAGACCGGTTAGTAGGGTGCCGTGCACAAGTCAGTTGGAGGTACCCCCTCGCAATTTCGCACGTGCAAGGCCCACCCTCTCGCTCGCTCCGTTAGTCGCCCCATAAGGCGCTATACTGGTCAGGTAAGTTTTTGGCTGCTTTGTTTAAGTAAAAAAGTAATTATTGCAGGCATATGCGAAAAATATAAAATATACACATAATAGTGAGGTACCCTCCACACTGCTGTCAACATGTAGCGTCATACTCGTTACGGAGCGAGCGAAGCGAGCGTAGTCTTTCCTTAGATTAACGGAAATTTCTTAGTATGAGCGGCCGGCCGGCCGGCCGGCCGGCCGTGGTCACGCTTTTGCGAGGCTTATATCTCAGCAACCACTTGACCGATTTACACGCGGTAATTTGTGTAGGGTAGCTTCATTCCTTCTACCAAGTATTGGACTATTCCTGATGCATGTGGGTGACCCCTTATGCACGTGCCACGTGCAAAACGAAGAGGTGTCCGTTTTGTAATTGTTGCAATATCTCGGTAACTACTTGGCCGATTGCGCTGAAAGTTAGCATGTAGGTAGGCACCCACTAGGCACTGCATATCCATGTGCCAGAGTTGGGGTGCTGCTGCACGTGCGCACGTGCAGGGGTCGTTTCCAGATCTCGAGAACGGCTCGACCGATTGCGCTCAAATTTGGTACACAGTTAGGGACCGGTTAGTAGGGTGCCGTGCACAAGTCACTTGGGACCCATTTTGCACGTGCGCACGTGCAGGGTGCCGCTTCCAGATCTCGAGAACGGCTGGGCCGATTGTGCCCAAATTTGGCACGTCGGTAGAAACCGGTTAGTAGGGTGCCGTGCACAAGTCAGTTGGAGGTACCCCTCACAATTTCGCACTTGCAAGGCCCACCCTCTCGCTCGCTCCGTTAGTCGCCCCAAAAGGCGTTATACTGGTGTTTAGCCTTGCTCACTTTTAAATTCGATAAAACATTCGATACAAATAAAACAGTGCGTGACAGGTTGTTATCACGTGCCGCTCCTAGGTCCGCGTAAGACTCGTCTAACTGCCATGTGACCTCCCCCAGGTCCGTGTTGGACTCGTCCAACTTTGACGACTACCCTCCCGACTCGGATCCGCTGCCCCAAGACGATCTCTCCGGATGGGACGCCGACTTCTAAACGGCAGACGACTGCTCAGCATAGGCCACACAGCGGCTGCCATCTTGGAAAACTGCCGCCATCTTGGAAAACTGCCCCGCTGCGTCCGCCATCTTGGACTGTGCTCTTCGCGGACGATATTTTGTGTCAGTCTGCTGTGGCGGGTTCTTTGTGCAAGTGGACGCCATTTTGAGATGCGGCACAGTGGCGGCCATCTTGGTCGGGCCCTGTGTTGTGGCAATGTGAAGTAGTTTCTGGGTGATCGGGCTTCACTTGGCGTTTCTACCACTCACTCCGTCCGCCATGTTGAGTGAGGCCCACCGTGTGGCGGCCATCTTGTGTCAGTCCCACCTACGGCGGCCGCCATGTTGTTTGTGTGCGTGCGTGCGTTTTGTCAGGCAGGACCTTCAGGAAGGGAAACGGCAATCATAAAGCGTTGTTGACCTCTACGCTCAGACGCATGTTCTCGCCCGTTACGTCCGCTTAGTGCTCCCAAAACTCCGAGTCATTCTATGAAGGATGATGACTCTGGTGCGACTCTGCGCTCGAGTCGTAACTGTGACTCGAGTCAGTCGTTGGCGTCTGACTGAAGAGTCCATGTGGTGGGGACTCAAAGAGAACTATATCCGACGCGGGAATAAGACTGAGTGTCGCTCTGTGACGTCATCGGTGGTGCTCAGTGCTGGACGGTGATTGGTGGAAGGGTGATGACGTCAGCTTGGGGTCTACCAGAAGTGGTGGATCAACAGATATCTATCTATAGCCTACTATGTGTTACACCAGAAACCATCGACCGGCTCCGCTGCTCACCAATGACTATGGTGGTTAACTGAAGTGTGCGATGGACTTTTGGAGGTAAGACACTCTGACTGAATGGAGCTTCCCATTCAACAACAAAGACCCTTACTGTACCCGCAATCACATATGACAATAACCCAAACACTTTGCATAGACAATGCCCAGCACTGGTCTTCGCTCTCGTGTTGTTTACTCCCTCACTACACCCCAAAACAGTGTATTACATCATACCATAACGGAAAATACCGTGCAGGGTGTACCTATCGAGTATCCTATCGCCGTTGTGCCTTACCCTCGGATGACGTCATATGTGACGTCATGTGAGGAGGTCGTATACGTACTCTGGGTGTTCTATGCGGTGTAATTTTGACAAGTTGGGGAGGGGGGTGAGATTGTTGTTGGGAGACGTTAGTAGAAGGTTCAATACACTCTAACAGAACACTGGTGTATTTGTGTGTGTGGTAAATTAGAGAGATGCGGAGTCTATAGACTCCACGGAACTCCGACTCCGACTCCGACTCCAGCTCCGGTTAGAACTAACCGATACTTCTGGCTGATTTCAAGCCTAAATAGATACTGAAAATATTGTGACGCCGCAAGAACAGGCGCTACTTTTTCAGTCCTTCAAATGCCTATGTCTCTGGCAGTTTAGAGATATTTTGTTAATTTTTGGCATGTGTAAGGCGTGTAAGGCCCGTAAGGACTTTTCTGACGTTTATTCCGTTTTTTTTTTAGTTTCCTTAAATTAAAAAAAATCTCAAGAAATCGAAGTTTTTAGTTAGAAAATCCCTAGATCGTGAGATTTTTGTGTTTGGAAAATGTCGAGATAGCCATTTGTTCGCCATGTTTTTTATACCTACAGTTCGATTTTCGAGTCTTGGTCGAAAGTATGATTTTCTGCAATTTTTCTTCGTTAACGACTTTTTCGAAGAAAAATCGCCGAAAATGACCTTAGTTTAACCTCAACAGATCGTGACCTGAGATGACATGGGATCTAATTTTTTCAGGAGATGTGTAGAATTGATGCCCAGAACATAGGCGGCGGAACGGGGAGGGCACCGGGGCACCGTGCCCCCTTTGATTTTGGCATTTTAGCATTAGCCCTATGGGCGTTGCATGGAAATAATGGGACCAAAAGTCGGAAGTGCCCCCCCCCCCTTAATTGAAGGTGTTCCGCCGCTACTGGCCCAGAGGGGTACTAAAGTTTCAAGTCGAAATTTGCGGCCGTTTCTGAGTAATCTGCGAAAAACAGGGGGCCCCTCCCCAACAGGTCGCGGGTTAAAACACTGCTGTGGCACAAAGCGTACTTCCGTAGTTGGCTTTTATGCGCAATAACCTTGCAGTTTCTGCTTTTGACACTGAAGCGTTTTCAGGACTTGTGGCATTTACAGTTCCAAAACGGTAGTGCCTAAAACCTGACTATGCATACACAATACATTACACAATACACAGTGTCTCAACTGAGCCTTTGTTTGAACTCCATAAAATAAAATGTGACAAGGTTTTTATGTATCTGAGTCGATGTGCCGGTCAGGCTGAGAATAGACAATGGTAAATGACACTGCACACTAAATCATACTCTGTCAATACGTCGGGCCTCTCTCGGGAGGGAGAGAGGCCCGACTCGTCGGGAGAGAGAGAGAGAGAGAGAGAGAGAGAGAGAGAGAGAGAGAGAGAGAGAGGGAGAGAGACAGACAGACAGACAGACAGGCAGAGACAGACAGGCAGGCAGCCAGACAGACAGACAGACAGACAGACAGACAGACAGACAGACAGACAGACAGACAGACAGGCAGACAGGCAGGCAGACAGGCAGACAGACAGACAGACAGACAGGCAGACAGACAGACAGACAGACCGACAGGCAGACAGGCAGACAGGCAGACAGGCAGGCAGGCAGGCAGACAGGCAGGCAGGCAGGCAGACAGACAGACAGACAGACAGACAGACAAAGACAGAGCAGTGTCGTCAGACCCAAGAGCCGTAGGACCAGTGAATGTAGCCGGAATGATCAGATCCCGACCCGTGACGTCATCGTACGACATGACGTCATGTGGCGGATGATTCACGTCAGGTCACTGTTCCAGTCTCCACACTTCACACAGGCCTTGTGGTCCATCCGGGGTCACAATTGTGACTGTTCCCGAACCCCAGAGGTCACAGAGGTGACCTGAGTTTGACCTGAGAGACCACTTCCGGCTAGTGCCGGCCGTTGAAGGGGCCCCTCAGACGATAGCCGAGAGCCGGCGGCCGATAGCTTGCGGCAAATTGCAGGGAGGCCGTCGCTCTTGTGGCGAGGCGCCGGTACCTCTTCAGTGCTGTTGACACTGCCAACGGCACAGCCGAGGTGGGTTCGATAACGCGGCGTTGTTCTAACATTGCATGGCGCCAGCGGCTCTCCAACGGACAACTTATCACTGAAATATATGGCCCGGTACTGACATAGCTAATGCCTCGCGAACCCCAGCCCGTCTTTTCAAATTCGAACAAGATGCAGCTGTTGGTGTACTCTGTCCTGTGTCACGTGATCTCGACTGGCGTCTGGGAGGGAAGGGGTTGCAGGCACGGTGCACTGGCGGTCACGGGGCCGACTGCTGACCTCTGAAACCGGTCATAACCCGAGGAGAAACTCTCTCTCTCTCTCCTCTCTCTCTCTCTATCTCTCTCCCTCTCTCTCTCCCTCTCCCTCTCTCCCTCTCTCTCGGTGGCTGCCGTCGGTCGGCTGCTGGTGGCGCTGACCCCGGTGCCGGGTCGGGAGGGGGGGGGACGAGATGACGCCGGTTGTCGGCCGGACGACAGCTGACCGGGGCCGGTGACGCCGACCGCGCTGGTCCCACCGAGACGCTCACCGCGGAGAGACGGCGCCTCCAGTCGGAGCCGACCACCGGCTGTCCAATGGAACGATGACGATGACGACTGATGACTGATGACGACCGATGGCCGCCGGTGACGGACGCGTCGTCCGGCCGCCGCTACCGCGATGACGCCGCGGGACGCGCTGCCGTTGGAACACAGCAGACGGCCGGCGGACTGGTCTCCGTCGACCGGCTCATCTGGCTCCCAGACTGGTCTCCGTCGACCGGTTCAGCTGGCTCGTCAGACTGGTCTCCGACGGCTGGGTGGCTGGACCAAGCCGATCCACCCAAACACTTAGATTTATTGAAATGGAGCATATTTGTACAATTGGAGCTATTCGGACAAGCTTTCTTAATATTTGTCGTGACCTCCAGATGACCTCAGGTCAACCGAACTTGAAAATCCTGGATTCAGGCTATACAACTCGGTGAGCTAAGCATACCTTGCCAGTTTGAATCAAATCGATGAACAGCTCTAGATTTCATTGAGAAAATAGCGTATTTTCAATCCTATTATGACCATGTGCCAGTTTTGTGTGACCTTGTGACCTGTCCTGAGGTCACTGGAACACAACAATCCTAAGACACGTGAAAAGGCTGCCCCAAGTTGTGTCTGAAATTCGGTCAGACACAAAAAAAATTCAGTTTAACCCTATTCCTGGCGGGTTCCGCCGGGACAAGAAACTGGCGGGGGGGGGGGCGATTCGGCCCCCCCCCCTTCAGATCTCAAAAACTACACATCGCAGCGACAAACGGTAAACGGCATCGGATATGCACGGTCAAGATCTACAATTTTTACTAAGGTCATTTTCAGGTCAGGTCAAAGATGACGTCACAGGGGTCGAAAAAGTCAAAATGGCGGCGCTAGATATGGAGAGAGTTTTTCTCGAATAACTTTCGAATTAGTCAAGATAGGAACAAACTAAGGGCATCATCGTAATCCTCTCGTCAATCCGCATCGAATGTTATATATGTTGACCTCGAAAGGTCAAGGTCAAAGGTTGACCTCAGGTCACGTGACCTCGAGGTCATCATGTATATCATTCGATGCGTCTTGACGAGCTGAACACAATGAGACCATCCACGCGTCTGTATCTTGTTCCTGTACGGAGTTATTGGCCAAAAACCATTGGTGACCTTTGATGACGTCACATGACCTCACAGCTGCCCAACAGCAAAACAGACCTCAAGGTAGTGAAGGTTGATCGTATATGAAGTCATGTATGGTATATGGGGCCATTCCGACCCGTTTTAGTGGTAAAAACAGGGAGTTGATTTTTCCCCCATTGACTTATAATGGGGAGGTCGCGAAACTGACCTGACCTTAGTTCACCGATATCAAAATTCCGAGATATACAAATTGCACATACTGGTACCCTAACTAAAGCCTGAAGAGAAGAAATTGATCGGTCAAAAACTGCAACGGCGTGATTGCAAACTTTTCTGAGGTAGGGTCACCAAACCGCCTCTGGTGACCTGACCTGAGGTCAGATCAACTCAAAATTTTCAGACATGTTGCGTGGAAGCCTTTTAGGAAAAGTCAAAAAATTTTAGCTTCCTAGCTCAACGCGTTTGGGAGAAATAACAAAAAAACCTCAGGGGGGGGGGCTCCTGAGCCCCCCCCCCCCCGCCAGGAATAGGGTTAATGACCCAACTAAAGTTGGGAAATCGAAACCTCTTGGAACTTCGTAAAGTTGGGGTGTTACGTGGTATTTTGGGATGCTGATCACGAATTTCATGTCAGTTTTGATCACAGACGATGTCTTCATGCATTTAGGCCAGGTTGGGTCAGGTCAGATCAGGTCAACCAGTATGGCGTCCTGCCGGCCATCCATAGCCCGGCAGTTGCTGGGGTATTTCGCCACCTACCGTTTGCTGGGGGGGGGGGGGGGGGCGTTAAACGCCCCCAGCCGATAACTCGAGAACCAATAGGCGCAGCGAAACGCACGAAGCGGCAAACGAAAACGCGCGACGAGACGCTTCAGATGAGTACTTTAAAGTTGAATTTTGAGGTCACAGGTCGGGTCAAGGTCAGGTCAAACACCTGAAATCGGGCTTTCAGTAGCATGGACTTCAGGACTTCGCAATGGGCGCCTCTCGTCACAAACTCTGTCAAAACGGTGCACAATCCATCATATAAAGCCTACAAGAGTGTCCGCTCCATGTAGGGGTCAGTCAAGCATAGGTCAGGGTCAAGGTCAGGTCAACCGGGTAGGCACATATCCCCGAAAATCAAAACTGATATTCGCAGCCTGTGACACATGTTTCATGGGTAACTTGGGGCGTAGAACACGATGGTGACATTCATTTTATCATATGTGTACGTGTTTGGCTAAAAAGTTTAATTTAAGAAATGCATTTATCATGGTCGTGAAGTGAAGTTAGCCACGAGAAATTGCAAAGATTCAGTTCAAGATTTTCAAAATGCGGAACGATAATCAATAATCGAAGATAGCCATTTGATTGTTCATGGTATTGGCAGTCTAATGGCATTTACGGCATGTCTGTATGTCTATTCTGTGATTTTATATGATTTTTTGAGCATATGCCGTTTTTGGTCGAAAACTCAGAAATCATGACGTCACT